CGATTAATAATTTGACCACTAATATATATATATATATATATATATATATATGCTGTATAAAATATATATTAATTTAAAATATATAAGAAATATATAATTATATTTAAATATTCATAATATACAGTATGAATATAAAATATTAATACACAAAATATCAGTTAAAATACTGATCATTTTAATTTAAGCATTCAGTATTATAATATATACCCCACATTTATAAAACTAAATACTAAAAACTTTTTAATTTACATTTTGAAATCAAAAAATGTTTATCCTAATAATTATAATAATATCAGTATATTATAGTAAATATACCAATAATTTTAAAATTTGATAAATGTGACCCTGCACCACAAAACCAGTCATAAGGGTCAATTTTTTGAAATTGAGATTTATGCATCATCTGAGTTAGTGTATATATAATTTCCTTCAGAAATCATTCTAATATGCTGACTTTTTATTAATGTTGGAAACAGATGTGCACTGTGCGAACTAGGGAAAACCATTTCACTGCACTTCATCAAATATAATATGTGACCCTGGACCACAAAACCAGTCATAAGGGTCAATTTTTTGAAATTGAGATTTATGCATCATCTGAAAGCTAAATAAATAAGCTTTTTTGGGAGTTTGTTTGGATAGGACAATATTTGACAGAGATACTGTACAACTATTTGAAAATCTGGAATCTGAGGGTGCAAAAAAAATAAAAGTATTGAGAAAGTCGCCTTTAAAGTTGTCCAAATGAAGTTCTTAGCAATACATATTACTAATCAAAAAGTTATGTTTTCATATATTTACGGTAGGAAATTTACAAAATATCTTCATGGAGCATGATCTTTGTTTAATATCCTAATGATTTTTGGCATAAAAGAAAAATCTATAATTTTGACCCACACAATGTATTATTGGCTATTGCTACAAATATACCCGTGCTACTTATGACTGGTTTTGATATCATATCTGATATTAAAAGCCTTTTGCTAACTAGTGTTAGCCATTGCTTCCATTCTTCCTCAGAATGCACTAGCTTTCTGCTTTCCTCGACTGTCATGCTTTCAGCTTGTTAGTGGTCCTTGCATTTGACACTGTCTTTAATAAAACACAATCTGGGACCTTAGACAACCTTTATTGTGCAACAAAAGCCTAGACAAAAGAAACACAATGTGGCATTGCATTTAGGAAAGTCAGCGCAGGGCAATGATGCGCTTCCACAGGTTAATGCGAGTTATTGTTTTTATGTTTGCAGCCGCATGTTTGCGAGTCACTGTGTATGTTCGGTTGACACGCAGGGCTTGTAGCCATCCATCAGACTGAGAAGTTTGACTCAACAAATGCCTGCGCTTCAGTCGAGTCCTCCATTATTCATGGGGCAGAGGGGCCTGCGTGAGGCAGACCTTTTTTTTTTTTTTTTACTTTAGCCGTTAATAATTCATGCGGCTGCACTCGCGTCAACAGCAGGCAGACCTCTGAGGTGTTGGGAGCTACTCTCAAATCTGGGCTTGATTTTTGGGGCCCTCCAGGCCACCGTCCGTGTATGTGGACATGCAATATAACCGCAAGAAGAGATCCCAGGAATGATGAGGGCATGATGGGATTATTTAATCTGAGGTCTGATCTCTCTGATCATTACTTTTGAACTTTGCACCACATCCCTTGATTGAATTAAATTGGACATGAAATGCATTTTTTTCCATGTTCTGAAGTGCTATTTACGGTGCAATTTTTAAGAAGTTTATACTTTTATTCAGCAAGGATGCATTGCATTTATCAAAAATGACAGTAAAGACACAATATTGCAAAAGTTTTCGATTTCAAATAAATCATGTTCATTGAGATTTCTAATCTTTATAATGTATCACAGTTTCAATTAAGCAGAACAACTGTTTCTAACATTGATGATAATAAATGATTTTTGAGCCTGAAATCAGCATATTAAAATGATTTCTGAAGGATCATGTGACACTGAAGACTGGAGTAATGATGCTGAAAATTCAGCTTTGCATCACAGAAATAAATACTATTTTAAAATATATTCAAATAGAAAACAGTTATTTTAAATTGTAATAATATTTCACAATATTACTGTATTTTTGATTAAATAAATGCAGCCTTGTTAAGCATAAGAGACTTCTTTCAAAAACATAAAAAAAAAAAATTGTACCAACCCTAAATCCTAAACGGTAGTGTAATACAGTTTATTTTATTGTATTATATTAACAAGTGCCAGCCTGCATGTAATACAATATTGTGTATGTTGCTGAAAAAATACATAATAGAATAAAGTTTTGTGCTGTATGACAAATTTTACTCTGAGGAATATCCTGACCTCTTTTCTTCATATTCTCAGTAGCTCAGTCTGAACTTGTTTCTGTTGAATTGGTGGTCTAGTGAGTCCATGTCTGAACCAGAGAGGGAGGTAGGAAGTGAAGGAGACGGCAGCCAGGACACCTTTCACTTCCTCTGTGTATCCTTCGGCTGCCTGCTGGCAATGACCTGAAGGTGTAGATTACGCTGGGCTTCCCTTAGCAGCCTGCCAGTCTGGCCTCATCCAGAACTATAGAGACCTGCCCTACCCTGGCCTCTGAACCCAGAGCCTTGCTTTTGTGTTTCAGAGCTGGAACAGGACCAGACTTGCATGCTAAACCCTCCCAGATCCAGAGGAGCTAGCGGTTCCGGTCCCTCAGTGTGCTGCTCTCTATTTCGGGCCGCTACTGCTGAGCTCATGCTGGTGGTGTGGTTAATGACACTTGTAGGTGACAATAAAATGTGCCTGTGTGAGCATGTGTCAGTCCCCATACTAACACCTCATGCCTTAGAGGAAACTTCTAATAGAAGAATTTTCCATTTTATAGCGCCGAAGGTCCTCTAATGATCAAGAGATAATTGGTTAACACTCTGTGATTGTTGTCGTTGTGTTATGATGATATATACTGAAGTGTTGTAATGTTTAGTCTACAGCGATGACACCTCACATTAACATTTCAGTGGGCGGTATGAAATCACTGTAGAAATGACACAAACAAATAAATAAAACAAGTACCTAAAAACCATATAGTTAAATTTTTACCATGATATTGAGGTGCTATATGTGTGGTTTTACCATGATCTAAATGTGTGCCACTTTGGAAGACCAATGGTTAATTTTAATAAAACTCAAACAGTCAGAATAATTCAATTTCACCATGTAAAATTGAGGTTGTTACAATTTTTACAGATCTTACTTTTTTCAGTAATTAACATAAATTTATGTCTGCGTCAACTCAACTCAAGCTGCTGTCAAATGTGCATTTCAAAGAGAAGAGAAAAATTGTACTGTTATTAATATTGTAGATACACGTCATCAAAGTCAGGCAACACAAACCTGTTTAATTATTTGAAACAATATCACTCAACAGAACATGCAGAAACTATGAAATTCATTTTTCTATGAAGACATTTATTTTGTTATAGAAAAATGACTGGAAAAGTAAGAATTCAAAAATGTGAAGTGTTTGTCACGTTCTTATCATAAAGAGTAGTTTAAAACCACAATTAACAGTCTGTTTTCTACTTTCACTTAAGTGCAAAAATCTGCCTTTAAACTTGAAAGAAATAAAACATTTGAAATTTATCGTGATAATTATCGACATCGACTGATATGATATTTAGCGTGAAGGATCATTTTTTGGCAATATCGCCTAGTCATAGTTACAATTTAAGTGATTATATTATATACAAATATTAAATAGATTATAAATAGATTATAAATATAAGCCAGTCTTCAGTATGTTTCCGGCCAATTATTTTACTTTTTTAATTATATATTTAAATGCTGCTTGAAATTCACTTAAAATTGTTTATTTATTATTTTTGTGGATTATGCAGTAAATTAAATACTTAACAAATGAAGGTTGCATTATTTGACTTTTTTTTTTTCCCCAGAACTTCTTGGATGCAAAACAAACGATATCACAATATGTGACAGTTGAATTAAAACTATTATTATACATTATATTTTGACTCTAATTTATGATTGAATGAGCCTTATTCGTGTTGTAAAATATACCAATATACGTATGTATTAGGGGTGGAACGGTTCAACTTTCTCACGGTTCGGTTTGTATCACGGTTTTAGAGTCACGGTTTCGGTATGGTTCTGTATGTGCTATGTTTAGGCAAAAACTATACTGTCAAATAAAAATAAAGAAAATTAGAATAATCTCTAACTACAAGCAACAGCACAAATGAATACAATAGAGTAAATATACAAATAAAATAAACAGTGATTTTCATTTTTTTTTTAGGTAGGTCTAACATTAGCTTGTAGGTACAGAAATTGAATAAAGTAATGAAATGTAAAACAGCATCGCATATTTGACTGTATAAATTCAAGTTGAATCTTTATTAAAGTTTCAAAAGCTATTCAAGAGCAGTGAGTGATTTCTTTATTGTTGCTGTTTGATTAATATTAAGAAAGTGCTGTCACTTTAAGAGAATGCACTGATCCAGTGCACTGATACAGTACGTTCAGTCGGCTATGTCTGCTATAGGATACTTACCAAGACGGGCATTTTGACATAATTTTTGTGTGAATTTGTCCATTTAAACACAATACTTAAAGGGATAGTTCA